TAAAGGAAAGTAGTGTAAGCAAAATTGGTGGATTTACCGTTCGCCAGCGAATCGCTCGATTCGCAAACTATGACGTCGGCCTCACGGTTGACCCTGGCAGCGTATCAACTGCAAACTTCAGAACACATGGCCTTTTCGGGCCCCAGGACACAGAAGGCACGTTGAATGATTTGCATAGAGTCCACTAACCCCTTAATTGCCCATACTTCTAACGGGGTTGCGTCATAGGACCGCCATACCTCCGTGTACCTATCTGCCAGACAGTTAGAGCAGCGCGATGAAGCACTCTTTTCCCTGAGGGGTCGCGCTGCTCTAACTGTCTGGCAGGTAGAAACACAGAGGTATGCGAGGTCCTATGACGCAACCCTTTTTTGTCCCCCAGAGGATTGAATCAGAGTAGGGGGACGCATCCCCTGGGGGAAGGATTGAATACGCCCCTATATGTGGGCTGCAGTCCCTTGACTGCGTGGCCCATATTTTATAAACAAACACTAAGTTTTCTTACGTTTTTCTTTCCATTTCATTCGATAAGGTTTCTTCTGCATCATGCAGTAGGTTTTTCCCTCCAATTTATTGATAAGAATCCTGAAAATTTCAAAGAAATCCTATGCGGCCACAAAACGTAAAACTTGCGCGGTTTTTCACGCGTTAAATCTTCTACCTGCTGATCTCCCAAAACGTGGAGTCGCAGTGTTCTGCCGTTACCATCTACTTTTTCATCTGCCGTAGTCAAAGAATGCCAATCAATTCGTGAAAAGCATTTACATAGCCGTTTTCGCATGTTCCGCCTCGTCACAGCTCTTGAATGCATATTCGCCCAACAAAGAACGGATGGGAGGTCGACTTGACAACTGGAGAATTTTTTCCCTCCGATTATGACAAAATTTTCGAGGCCTCAGTGGAAAGGCAGAACTCGAAATAACCTTGCCAGATGCCTTATCTTTTGAGGCGAACTTACATCGGCTCCCACCCAGTAAGGGGCATGAGGTGCGACAGTTGCTGCCGCCGTAAGAAATTCCAATTTTCACAGGGAGAATATATTTTGGGTGGGTTATGACATTCCCTACTTAGTTCCTCCTTTGGGCTCGTTTCGATCAAAAATGACAAAACGACAGCTAGCGGCGGCATAAAATTAGGCGTGAGGATACGGTAACTAGCTTTCGTACGCAATCACGCGAATGGCGGCGGTTGAATTTCGCGGGTTCGGTGTCCTCCATTTTTTCTCCCATTTCGTATTTATGCTTCTTTCTCTATTGATTATTCTTTAAGTTAATTCGATTAATTAGGTTTATTATCAATTTCATCTTGGTTTCAACGTAGACGATAATCGACCTGACCGATATAGTAAAGTGCTGGATTATGTTGGATTTCAAGTATTGGCAACGCGCCAGTTTCTAGTATCGGTGCTTGTATCATATGTTCCGTAGCTTTATTTTCTTTTTAATTCAATTCACCATTTGGAACGGATGTAACTCATCTTCGTTTATATCTTTAGCTAGATATGTATCTTTTCAGACAATTTGGAATTACCTTTATTTGTTATTACCAGCAGCAGTCAATAACGCTTCATGGATCTAATGATGTGTTGTTTCTCAGCCTTACTAGTGTTGGATGTTAAGCATTAATAGGAGACTCCAAAAATGTTGAAGGCTCTTCTAGTTATACGAGGGCGGCATGTGATGTAACATTCGTATCGCCTAAAGTTATAAAATTTGTTGCAGGGGAAGGAAGCCACAGATCGGGTGTGATGGCGAAAGCGAACTGCTTCGTTCACGGGTTTCCCTCCCTTGCAGACATAATTTCTGAAACCACAGAAGTGTCGCATACAATACTCTCCATCGGGGCGCAGCACAGTTGGTTGTTATAAATCGCCTGAATTAGATAACGCATGATGTCATTTCGCGACGTCGCACTGCTGGCTAAACTGCACCTAATCGTCGAAATACTCAAGGCAAGTCGACGATCGATACGAATCAATGCTGATGCAACAGTTAGGATTTGTTGCGTGCCGCAGACTATGCGCTGCGCTCGTCGGAGCAGACTATGTATGGCCCTTTTCTGGAATGAGACTCAATGATTGCATTCAAATCGCTCAAAAGATCACGAAATTGGATGGTCACGGCGAGTAGATACGTCTGGCGATAGTTTTATTCTTTGGGCGAGGTTCATTAATTTTTCATTAAGCATTGGAAGGAGCTCGATCGAGCAGAGCGCGGCCCGTCACAGTGGTCCACCCCCCCCCCCCAACACTTAGCCGTTTATTTCCTATTTGAAGTTATGTTCGCATTTTTCAAGCTCCTGAAGTATTATTATTTATGCTTTTTCGTCAGAATTCGACTATTCAACAGAGTTGCGTACATGTCAAGACAACAGCGCAACCAACCAACTATGAAAGTGTATGTTGAACGTGAGGGTGGTGAACAAGTGTTATGGAGGTACGCATTTATTTTACGCCTCACAAAAGCACCGCGTGCAGTTGCAACGGACCATATGCGTGCATCGCTTCAAATCGTTTCATTTACCCTTTTCTTCTTTTTTCCATGCAGTCAGATTTTTCAATACATGCTTGTTATTCATTCATACTGAAATCAGTTGGACTCCCACCCCTCCACTTTCTTCACGCTTTGGAGGGCGCGGCGAGCTCCATAGTGCGCGCAACTGTGTGAGTGTGAGTTTGAAACGCCTCATCAGCTTAAGATCGCGAACAATTCCACACTCGGCTCGCCCTATTTGTGTTGAAGAAAGTTGGGAGCCAAATCCCTTGGTTTCAAGTTTGGGGATTAAAGGTCTAAGTATGAAGGACTCGTAGGGTTCCCCTTACTGAACTCGGCTCCACCTTTCGCACCATTCCACAACAACAGGCTAAGCTAAAGGAGGTTACGAAAAAATGGAGTTCAGCGATTCCAATAGCGCCAAAGTATTCCGTGTATGGTGTTTATAAAGTTACGCAACGGATTGCGTCTGAGCCTAGTGCGCGCAGGTGTTTCATGCAGGCGCGAAATAAAAGCACACCCCATAACGTGTTTTACAGAGTCACGCCTTCATTGCTGTCTGTTCTCCTGCGAATAGACTCTGTTTACAGGAAAATGACTCGAGAGGAGATCATGCAAGAATTTTTCGCACCTCTTGAAGAGGTCAAACGACGAGAACAAACACCTACGTGGTGCGATTTGTCAGAAACACGTCTGTTTGAGTTGCTTGTACGCTTCAAGCCTGCTGGTTCGTTTCTTCTCTACAAAATTTCGGGTACACGACTCATGTGCAAGTGCGAAGTTATAATCGTTTAGTGTCGCATTCAATCCATGCTTGCGATGGGTGACTGGTTGGACAGATTCAAATTGAATGCATTAGAACGCGTATTGATCGGCGATAATATGAGATTGGAGGCTGCGCTTCTGTTTATGTACGGGGAGAGATTGATGTTGTGTGCTGTTAACATGAGAATTACTTGTAATATCCATTTTTTTTTACTAGACTTCCCTAACAGAAACAGGGCTCCCCCATTTTCTTCATACTTCTAGGCGCGGCCGCGGCGAGCGCGGACGAGCTGATCGTTGGCGCGAGACTGGCGACTGCATTTGAAAAACGCTCTTAAGCGTGACAACTATCTGTGTGTATGGGACGTTTCAGAAATTACCCGTAGTTGCGAGCTTACCCAATCGCGAGTATGCGCGAATAAGTGTAAAGAAAGGGCGAGCACAATATAGCAAAATAAATCGATTAAATAAGGTGTGATTGAGTTCTTACGTATGACAAGTAAGCTGATTTGCGGTTCTGGACTGTTTTGCATTGTTAGGGGCTCTTTTAAAAGAATAAGTCTTGTTATGACTGTTAACATGCATTGTTGTTAGCCGCCTACCCTTAGCAACCATTGCCGTTTTGGTCATGTTTTCTCTCCTTAGCAGCTCTTGTCCTCCCCGCTCTCATGCCAACAGATCTATGGGCGGTCTTTCGAATTTTCTTCTGTGTTTTCAACAAAAATCGTTCTAGGAAAGCGCATATTTTGTATATGTTTATTTGTATCTGGTGTAAAAGCAAGTATGTGCTGAAAGTGAAAAAAAATGTTATTTGAAAACAATTGAATTTAAAGGACTCCTTTGTTCTCCTAGTCTGAGGGAAGGATATAATACGGCTCATAAGCTAGAAGCTCCCGGCCATATCAATCAGTCCATTGATCTCCAAGCAAATTCTCCATTTTCCCAATCAATACGTCTTTTTATTTCTCTTCTGATCTCCCAGTTTCTGCAAACGTGGATGATGAATGCGGCATTAAGGCTGACTCTTGAAACTTACGAGGCAGAAGATCGAAGTTTTAGGGCTATACGAATCGATAGAATTATATAACCGTTTTTTTTTGAGCAAAAATTATCCGCCGTTTTCATTTCACTCATAAGTTTATTAACAAAACCAAACAAAAACAACAATAAATGCGTAATCAACAAACGCTCTCGAACAGTCCTTCTCTGCAACCGTGCCTTCATCCCAGGCTTCATTGATTCTACGAGCAGATGCAGAAGCATTCGGTTTCGAGCTCAACTTGCACTCATGTAGCATGAGCAATTTTTTGCTCGCGTGTAAGCTCCAGAGTGAAGCAAATACACAAGTGTTGTACATCAAAATGTACAAGAGATTGCGCGCTTTCAGACTACATCATAATCTTCGAAAATAATCAAAAAATCAAACGAGCCATGAGCCTTAAAAAAAGCAGCGGATAATTTTTGTTCAACCGTCACAGTATCACCCTTTTCCTTTTCTTTGTGACAGCCTTGATTTGTGTAAGTGTTTGTTATTATCCTCAAGAATTGCTTGCGAGCTTGTGATCCATTTCCATGTGCATAAATCTTTTATAATTTTCAGGAGTGCAGAAATGGGCCAACCTAGCTGCCATCCACATGTATATGAATAAAATTTATGAGTCCGAAGAAGATGGTATCGAAATATTCTTGAACGATGAAGACTTTGAAACAGTTAGGAAGCGTAAAGACCTTCCTAAGGCTGAGAAGACCCTTAGATTCCAACCACGATATGCCATTAGACCTGACATCGAACAGGTGAGGAAGTCTCGTCGCTAGAGTGTGGTTGGCTGCTGATTTCTTAATTGTTAGCCTTTCTTTAGATCATTGCTAAACTGGACCAGTACTGGGACATGAAGTTCGTAGAGTACAATGAAGGAATACCAGACGGATTGGAAGTACATAGCGATTTTTTCTTACCTGATGGGCAGTTTGGCGAGCTGTTGAAGGAGTTGGTGGGTGTTAATTGTGTATACTCTGCAGTGCATGTATCCCATTAATAAGTTTTATCCTAGATGTCAAATTTGCACTTTTTATCGTGTTTTTCCTCAAAGCTCATCCTTATTCTGTTTCTGCATATTTCCCGCTAGGCGAAACTTCATTCAAGCGTTAGAGTCGTTAGACGTTGTCGTGAAGGATATGGACACTAGTAGTTATAAGGGAAATACTTAGGGTTTGGGTAAGGGCGCAGCCCAAAGTAAGAACCGTGCAGAAAACCCGTTTCACACGGTTCTTACTTTGGGCTGCGTCCTTACCCATACACTAAGTACTTCGAAAGCAACATTCCGAATGGAATGGCTCGTACCAATAAGTTTTGCTGGTTCTGTAGAGCGCCAAAAACGCATATTTTTGGTGCACTCTCGCGCATGGGAATGCAGTCACCTTAGTTGGAGTAGAATTTTCTCCCCACTTCTAACACTATGGAAAGGACATCCTAATATCTCTACCTCTAACACCATGGGAAAGAATTCGCTGAATCGTACAGTTCCCAAAGCGCGTTTTTCGCTGCGCACGGCTCTCTTCTAGAAGGAAGTCATCCAGTTTTTTTGCACCAGTAGCCTTTTGCGTGAGATCCTACGAGGCTCCTCCTTCCCCTCCCCTTTTCATAGAGATCTAGCTAAAGATTATGCCGTTAAGCAATGGTCCCAAGCATACTCCACAGTGAAATTGTGTTTTGCATTCTAATCTTACCTATGACCACTATCTGAAATACGACTACGGGAACTCGGTTCAGAGTCTATACTAGTGAGGGGAGGGACATTTCTGCGCAGAGTACCTAAGGCAAGTCTAGTGGTTGCTTATGTTCAGGTAGGGAAAGGTCCTGATCTCTTGCTTCATCTTCAGGTAGGGAAAGTCGCTGATCTCTTTAATTACATGTTCCTTCGTATTCTCTAGCTGCAAAAGTTTTCAGCATACAAATTCGAAGAACTACATAGCCTAGAAACGATATTCATAGAATTTCGTAACTGAAAAGAACTGTTGTGCAAAATTGGGATCACTCCGTAAATCGATTCAAATCCAATGGTGCATAAGACATGACCTTCACCTTTATTTGTATAAACTGTCTTTTTGCCCATACAACTGAGCACGACTATGTGTGTACATAAAACTCCTTTACGAGCGAGTCACGTGAAAACTAGGGCTAGATTGAGTATACAGTCTAGCTGACTACACATTAGTTTGCTGAGCCTACCAAATCCGACCTGAATGGGAACGTGGGAAGGTCATAACATCGTCAGGTGGGAATTGGAAGGCATTTCATCAGAAATATCATTCTTATATTGTTTTCTCTTCCACGAATGCACCCATTTTGTACCTCTATTTTCACTCTTCATCAAGCTACGTCGATTCATACATTCCATTGGTGCTGCTCTATATCGCGGAAGGGGACAGTCGACGTTACGTCGATGCGGGGTTTGCGCCCTGTCAGCGAGACAGTAATGAGGGAGTGAGAGAAGGAAGTTGAGCTGGCGGAAGTTGGCGAATAAAGCGCCGTGGCGGTGTGTAGCGCGATTGTCTTTGGTGACAAGCCGGATAGTGCCAATGGGTAATTTTGACACGATCTCGGCGACAGAGGTCAGGGGTTTTTTATCCGCTGCTTTGCGCGCAGTTCTCAACGGCCACGTTGCGCAGTTTCGCCCGATTAGACACGTTCTCTCGCGCGAACATTCACACTCGCATGCTCGAGCCGTCTGTGTCTCCGCCCATACAGCGTGCGTTGAGGATCTCTCAACGTGCCGTTGCGAACTGCGCAACGCAGGGTTGACTCTGCTCGCCGACAGGATAAGGATTCCTAGGTCGCCATGGCCATTCAAGAAGAGATGTACATGCCTAGATGTGCTTTTAAACGCTGATCTCCAGCTAACATACCAAGAGCTACTAAGCGAATCTCTGACCGGCAGTCAAGACATTGATAGAATAGCAAAGGTAGTTACTGCTTGTTTCGAAGATGCCGGGCGAGCACATCTTTTATCAATCGAACCTACGACGTCTTGGTTGTGAGTCCCGACCACTACCGTTGCGCTCTTTTGCTTCACAACTCCGTTCAGAAGCAGATTCAAAGTAGATTTGAGATGAGCGTTCCAAAGCGCACCTAAGCGTATACATCTCGTATTAAGTGGCCATGGCGAATTGGATCCGTTCTTGTTAGAGGGGCAGACAAGCGTGCGGCTGCGCCGTGACGCTGACCTTATGCTTCCCTCCAGTAGATACAGAGCCCTTTGATACTAATACTTAAAATGTGTGGTCGTTATTGCTGTGCTTCAACAAGGGTTATAAAATTCAGGAGGAGAAGAATGCAGCTGCAGGAGCGAAACAAGTCACAAGAAACCAAGAGGAGGAGAGCTCTGCTGCAGCGCCTTCGTCGTCCGGTGTATCCAAAAGACGTCGCGTCGTGGAGGTTCACCAGATTCGGACGTTCCCCCCCCCCCCCCCCCCCCCCCCCCCCCCCCCCCCCCCCCCCCCCCCCCCCCCCCCCCCCCCCCCCCCTTCATATCCACTAACGGATCTGAAGCGTACTTTCAATGTTCCTAAGCCTTTGATTATTTTTCTTCTGTACCAGTGCATTACTGTAATGTCATAAGATCTCAAATATCTACCGTCGCAAATTTGATGCCTTAATTCTTAAAAGATTTGACTTTTTAATTGGTTTTCTTCTCATCGATCTTGTTTTCTTCCTTTCTTCAATTAGAGGTGTGTCACACCGTTTACTCTCGAAGATGTTCAATTTTTATATCATTCCGGCGATGATAATCTGAAGTTCGTGTTGTTCTTTTTTCGCTTATTCTCCGGGTCTCGGATCTCCGGTTCATTGAAGCGCAGCTGATCACTTTTCAATATGTCGAGCGAGTAGTCATCAATCATTATTCTTTTTCTCCCGTGTACACGGTGAAATGTTTTATTGAACCCGGTTCGAAAGCTCAATTTGTACGAATATCGTGGTCAACAATTCCATGATACTCTCTTGTCTTTGAACGAAGAAGTCAGAACTTTAAAATAAAACCGAAACTTTTATTCATCGAGAGTTCCAGCCAAACTGTCCTGTAAGTTTATTCAGTTTTATTCATCAATTTGGTTTTAATTTATACAAGAAATGCTGCTGGGAATCCGAGAAACAGATGTGTTCTGTGAGTCCGTGCTCATCATCAATCAGAAGAGATTGCGGGGTTGCCCAGTTTTTTTTTTGCCAAAGCGGTCTAAGATTATTAATGAATTATGGAGTGAATAGTCACGTCCTCCCGCGTGAAGCCACATGCGTTTCTGGATATAAGTCGTTAGTTGAGGAGGACAGTCGCCTTAGAGGGCGTGAGTCTTCAATATGGTGATGCATGGGTTTAAAGGCACAGGCCACGAGTGCGGCGATTTTGCTCGAATGTGAAGGTGATAGTGCGATGTGAAGTGTCATGTAAAAAAAGCCGTCGGAAACCGAGAATGTGGACCTTGTTCTACGTTGTGGAGTAGTTTGCGAAGCAGACAGTGAGGGTGGAAAATGGGCGCCGAGGTGAGAAAAAAGTTGGACTGGAGGGTTATGCAGATTAGCGATACGACACAAATGAGACACCAATTGCGATGGGCGGACCGACCAGCAACGTCGGTTGGCACTAGCGTTTATCGCATAGCAATGTTGTTTCTGGAACCTCTGCCACAATGACGCCCTGTATCTACGGCTCCGCCCCTGCCTTGCAACGTGTTTGGAACATTGCTCTCACCTTATCGGGGATGTGCCCTTTAACCCGTGCGTCTATAAAATACTTTCGACGTTTGAGCGCGACTACTCAAGTGTGGGTTCTTTAGCGCAACCCTCTGAGCGATTTCTTTGTTGAGATGACTTTGATATGTGAAATGTAGAGAAATACACAAAGCAGTTAGAAGCCTTTTGGCATGTTTCTGAAAAAAAGCACAAGTTTAAGTGCGCTAGGAATCCGAGCTGACGCTTCTCGTTTGTGATTTTCGACCACTACAACAGGGCTGTGATGCCACCTATGTGCTCGATGGCATGTGAGACTGCGGTGGATATACCGTCCTTAGCGCTGGGGGTTCTGAAAGCAGATTTGCGTTCAGCGCCTCCTTCGACGTGTATCACATTGCAAATATCCGGGTCGACCTGTTGGACTTTTCTTTGTTAGTTCTCTTCGTTAATTGGCAAGAAGACTTTCACTTGTCTTGTGTGAACTGATGAAACCAGTAAACCAGTGAAAACGTGAGACTGAAGTGTGCAAGTACCACTTTTTCAAAAAATTTAGAATCTAAAATGAAAGGCCATCGCTTCAAAAATCTCCTCGTGGGCAGTTTTGCGCAGTGAAAAGCTGTTAGGGCAAGCAATTTTCAACATGAAAATTTTCGTGTAGCCTTTTTATGACATTATTTTACGCAATCTTTTTAGTTGATGTAGCTATTTGTGCAGTCGAAATGCACTTTTGCAATCAACGAGATTTCAAAGTCCATTAAATTGTGCTGTTCCGCGAAATGGTTCTGTTGAACAATTTTTTGCAGTGTAAAGTTGACCCCTGCCTGTCACTACACTTACCTGCCTTGAATTGGTCCGGAAACTACGAAATTTTTCGGTGCATTCAGAAGAGCATCGTTATGTAGAGAGCCCAACACACCCAGCATTGCCTCTCCTGGTCTCCCTTAGAACAATGGAACTAACCAGGAAGGTCTTTCAGGGCGTGCCAAGCTTTTTGAAAACGGTCTTTTGCATGATATAGGGGCACATGCGGGAACCACAGAACCATGGTTAATTTTTCCTGAACGGCCCTCTGAATACCAGAAAAGGGGTCCCTAGTTCGATTCCTCGTGGTGACAAATTTTTGCATTTCGAGTTGACGTTCCAAAATTCGCGCAAAATGGAGTTAGCATGAATAATTAGTACCATATTCATGATTAGGACCGTCAGTAACCTTACAAATAGACTTTGATTAAAAAACTGGTGAAAAAGGTGTGACACCACAGTGGGGCTGCTTGATGTCACGCCTCTCACACCAATTTTTAAGTCAAAGTCTTTTTGTAGGAGTTACTGACGGCCCTAATCATGAATATGGTACTAATTATTCATGCTAACTCCATTTTGCGCGAATTTTGGAACGTCAACTCGAAATGCAAAAATTTGTCACCAAGAGGAATCGAACTAGGGACCCCCTTTTCTGGTATTCAGAGGGCCGTTCAGGAAAAATTAAACATGGTTCTGTGGTCCCGCATCTGCCCCTATATCATGCAAAAGACCGTTTTCAAAAAGCTGTCACGCCCTGAAAGACCTTCCTGGTTAGTGATTTGGAGAGGGTGGTCGAATGCTGTTTGACTGGCATCGCGTGAGTGTCGATAATTGTTAATGCTCCGGGATTATAATAATATTGTGTATGTATAACTATGAGCTGTAGGATCAATATTTTAGTCGGTAAAATAGTGATTTACCGATTGGCTGGTCAACCCGATCCAAATAAACGCAGGCGCAGTGACGCAATCTTGAGTGAAAGTCGTGTGCATGGCGCATTCCTGAGCGAGTGATCAATGACGAAACACCTACTCGGTTATTCCCAATCAGAGAATTATCAGGTGTAGTATAAAATATTCGAAACTCATATGGTTCAGTATGAGGAATGGAAGTACAGTGAATATTTATTTATTTATTTATTTATTTATTTATTTATTTATTTATTTATTTATTTATTTATTTATTTATTTATTTCAATATTGAGTTCTTTATGCGTAAAATAGGCGCTCATAGCGGCCATGCGGATCCAGTGAAGAAAAATGTGCTTTAAGCCACATGAGCGGAAATAGCCTCAGGGTTTTGGGTTTGCTCACTTTGGGTGCTTTTCAAAAGTGCACTCGGAGATTGGCTGTTTTTCAGCGGAAGCTACTAAGAATAGCTGGGATGACAATTGTCCTAGAAGTGCACCTTAATACAATAGCGAGGGAAATCTGTTGTACTTACTCTTTGTGTCCTACGGCTAGGGATTTCTGCACAATAGACTAAAGGACAAGTGACGACGGCTTCGTACTCAATACGTTACTGCCCATAAACTTACAGTGAACTGAATGGTGAGATGATACATGGTAAATGGTGGGGTTAGGTGCGATTTTAGTTGGAAACAATGAGAAGTCTAACCGACACGTTGAGATTGCTGGCGATATTTTATAAGGTATTATGGGCGGAGCTGAGATAGAAGCTAAGGCCGATGTCAGACTTTGCGAATCGCGCGATTCGCTAGCGTCTGCGGTCGCGTCGCGGCCAGTGAATCACTCAATTGGCTGGTACCGCAACGCGACCGCGGACGCTAGCGAATCGCGCGAATCGCTAGTAGCGAATCGCGCGATTCGCAAAGTCTGACATCGGCCTTACAGATAAGCGAA